CTTGCTCCTCCAGAGCTGTTCTGTTCATTTTCTCTCCTGCTATAAGGATGTTAGCGTGTTCTTTTTCTAATTAAAGAAAAGGTCAAAAGGTAAAAGGAAGTCCAAAGCTATTTAATCCAGGATAATTTTTTCAGGAACAACATATTAGCAGAAGCATACATCTGCCAACTCTTAGTGAATGTAGCATATGAGACAATGTTAACGAGCCACTTTTATAGAAGAAAATTACATTTTCAGCACTCTCCAATGAGTACTGTAGTGCTTGAATTACTTTAACAGTCCCCATGTTGGTACTAACTGTGCACTGTTGAACGACATTTTGCAAAAGCTCCTATTAAGAAACTTATAAATACACTTTTTTTTTTTTTTGCTGTATCTTTCAAGTCTTTATGCAACAGGATCTACAGGAACGAGCCACCCTGATCAAGTACTTGCACAACTGCTTGAAACATAAAATACATTTTGTGGAAAGCTAAACTTTTAAATAGCAAATATAATGATAGTTCTAAAAGCAAATCAACATTATGCTAAATATATTCTGTGTTTAGCAGTTTTGTATAAGCTGCACTTTAAAAATATATAAATATACATTATAAAAAATGTGCTTTTTAAAAATTAAAAAAATAGGAAATAAAGAAAATTGAAACACATTGGTAAGAAACACTGATCACTTACTGTTGTCAGCATCCATCCTACAACAATAAGGATGTGACACAGTCTTCTCATTCCCTATTCATTTAACTATCATTGTTACAACATGCCTTATGCTGACAAAAGGAAGTAGCCTTGTCAGTGAAAAGCAGACTTCCTGTCAGTTTATCAAGGAAAAAAGACACACTTGTTCTGTGTGAGACCAGCTCCAGAAATGCAGGAATATGAGCCAATATTAACTATCCACATACAACACCCTGGCATTGATTCTTCAAGTCTCTAAACTCTTTTGAAGGGAAGGACTTCCATTATTCCAAAATAACATTCCCTAAATTGGTGCTTTGGTGATGGTGGTGCAAAGCATAGTATTTAGCTCTTAAATACACCACATCCACAGTGACCTGTTTGAGGTTAAGGATAGGTTGAGGCTTACAATGCAATTTTTACCTGATTAGGATAACTCAAATGGAAATCTTCTAAATCTTCTAAATCTAAAACCATGAACTGTAAAACTAAAACGCACGGAGCTTACTGCAAATAAAATGTAGTGCACTTCCCTAAAAACACAGTCATTTAGCATGTTGCTACACATATAAATGTATTTATATGTGTGCCAATGAGTTCAATGGTACACATATAAATGTATTTATATGTACACATATAAATGTATTTATATGTGTGCCAATGAGTTCAATGGTACACATATAAATACACATTTTCATGCACCTAAATCTGATCCTGGAACAGACCACTCCCATCAAAATTAAAAAAAAACAACAACAACAACAACAACTTTATATTGTGTTATAGAAGCACCATCTCTCCCCCCCCCATTTTTTTAGTTACAATAGACGTTGCATTACGAGCATTAAAGAAATAAATCATCACATCGCCTTAAGCAACATCTTTTGATTGAGTAAGAGGAAGCAGTGCTGAGGAGTGCAAGCTCCCATTGCTAATTATTCATCAGAAGTGGAGCATTTTTACAGCAACAAGTCTGCTGGGCGTTTTCTTTAAGGGAGCTAAAGCGTCACACCCGCAAGTAACAGAAGCCCCAGTTACACGCTGCGCTCCATTAGCAACACAAACTTCACATGCCTTTCTTTTGTTATACTGATATTCCCTTCAAACGTCACTATGACTGCCTCCCTTGCACAGAACTGCGTTTTATATGAGCTTTAATACCCACTGACCACACAGGGGCACTGCGCTCTCACAAGCTGCAAGAACTGCAGGCACTGGTTCTGTGGCTTTATTGGATTGGCTGTCCACATCTGAAATAGTCATCACATGTAGCAATGAGAGCTGCGTGTTGGTGAAATTAATGTGAGGTTCTGGAGCTTTTATAAGTTAACTGTCACATTGCTTTGCAGCTTTCTCTTTACTCTTGACCAATCTCCTATGGATGCTAAAAATCAGGAATGGCACAGCTCTACAACCATGAAATCTGAGCAGTATGACTCTGAAAACCAAAAACAAAGTAATATATAAATTACTTGTGAGAAATGCTTGCTTGGTTGTGCAAGTTATACTGATGGACAGCAAATCTAGCTCACTGAAGCAGAATATGCTGAAGCTTTAACCTTCAAACAGCAGGACTATTACTGTAATTCACAGGACTCCACCTCTCAGTTATCATCTAATTAACTCCCTCAGTAGTCATCAGCACATTTCTTTTTTAACCTCCTTAAAACTTACCGTTTTATTCGTTGTGAAAAGTAAGCAATGAAATACAGTACATTGAGACTGTAACTAATAGTTACTCCACTATTAGGACGGGAGTTATAAAGAAAGATGCAGAAAGTGTCTAACCAGACATAAAAATGCAAACGTGTTCCATCTAAAATCGCATGAATCTGACTGAAGACAACAGATCTACATAGGTTTTGGACATTTTTGCTTAATCAAATGTCTTGACAAGTAATAAATAAGACAATTTACTGAAGATCTAACGCGTAATCTATTTTCTGTGAATTATTTTGTGAACTACTTTGTGTGTATTTACAGTGACACCATGTGCTTCATTTTATGCATATTTAAGCAAATTAAAGTGGTTTGAGGGTCTTAAATACCCTTTAAAATGGGACTCCTAACCCATTAAAATGCCTCCGTGTGCCTTCTGGCGACCGCCCTTGAGTGGAGATTACAAACACATGGCTGGAGAGCACGCATAGAAAGCACAAACACTGTAATGCACACACAGGCGTTAAATTTCACAGCTGCCTCAGGGACTGTTGTGGGAGAGCACAAAACAGTTGATAATTGTGTCTAGTCCTGCTAGAATAGCAATGATACTCATGTTTATTTTCATAAACCTGGATTCCGGTCTAGTGTGCGATCTATTTATATGCACTTGCCTCATGTGCCAAGCCCGTGGACTTGCTGCGAAGCTTTGTGTCACTCTTCATCACAAATAAATTGGACGTATTAAAGACGTATTGGGTGTATACGTCTTTAACTGTATCTGAACTACAATAACACAGTTTAAACTTAAAATCAGTGAATTTATCAACTGGCTATAATAAACAAGGGGAACAAGAAGCACGAGTCGGGTTAAAGCAACACTGAACACCTCTTGTTAGAAGTCATGCGAACAGTCAGTGAATCAGCTGCCAGTGATGCCCACAGGAGAATATTTCCATAGCGCAGACTGCAGCACCATGGACAGAAACCCGAGCAGGAAAAAGAAAAATGGGGATCTTCCATCATGTAAAACAAAAATAAGAAAAACAAAACTTCGAATGGCCCACCTTCTTTGGACTTTTTCTTCCGGACCAGGGTTCCTCCTAATTTCCCGAGAAAGGACTCGTCCTTTTTCATTTTTGCGGTCTGAGGGTTCGTAGACACGGTCGGAGCCCCGGACATGTTTGTGTCTCTGTGTACCTAAGCTCCCTCTCTCTCCCTCTCACAGTGCTCCGTTAGTAATGCTCACTCCTCCCTGTGCTGCGTTCAGGCACAGGAAAACGGTCCAATCACAGTGACAACAGTCAGGCAAACAACAGCAGGAGCGGCGGTTGGTGGGCATCTACACAATCCACTGATTCACGTGTGAGTAAAACCTTCATTGCTTCGCCGGCTCGCCAACAGCGCCACCCGCAGGTCGGATTGGGAAGCAACGTCTGTGTCATCCCATGGGTTTGAGGGGGGCACAACAGATAGCCTCCCCCCAAAAAACGTCCGTACCAAGCCATTGGAGTTAACCAATAAATTACTCTTTTTACCTATCTCAATATAACGAATTATTCATTTTGTGGTGATCGTATCATTGCACAGGAGTGAAAATTGGAAACCTAAAACTGTTTCCAGATTTACACATCACTGTTCATGAAAATATTAAGTACGACTGTTTAGTTGCAGCTAAACTGTAAGACACAATGTAATGACAGTAGAGCCAGTGAATGTAGAGAAGTGAAATATATTTTTGGAAGCTGGAAATGGATCACCTGTGGTTTCAGTTTTAAAATCTTGGCTACAGCCCAAATTGAAATAAAGGAAACAAGAAGTTAAACGAGGCTTTTGTTTGTTTTTTATACATGGTATTACTGGTCTGGAACACTTGAGATCAAACTGGGATGTATGTGACCCATTAATTAAACTGTACTGAATTAACTTCCAGTTTAGGTGACCAGATGACTCACCCATTTCTATCTCACATGATGAGAGGCTCAAAAGTCTTCTGGTGTGAGTCTCACACGAAACATGGCTTACAAAGAATTGTGGTGATCTCTGAATTCAAAGATATGCAGAGATCATTTCAGAACATCACCTAAAACATCAGCTTTCACAGCTGTTACAACAGGAAAAAAGGAACGGGGAGACACATAACCTTAAAGTAAATATAAAAAGTTAGATTCTAAATTTATGCTTGTAAAATGTGGTGAAAAATTACATTAAAATACAATATATAAGATCTGTCTTTCTATGATCAATGGCAAACCTTTGAACTGTATAGTTAGTGTGATTTTTCTATCAGCTTACCCATCTGTTTGTATTCTTATCTAACTCTGGATCATGAGGAGGCTGACGTCTTTCCCAGCTGTCACCCAGCAATAGAGGGCTACACCCTGGACCTGTCACCAGTGGACTGCAGGGCCAACACATATAGACCAGCAGAAAAGAGGTCTCCTTACTTGAATGAATGAAGACTGAAAAGCTCTAAAAACTGTTAAATGTGCCCTCAAAGGTCGAGAGTGAACATGCAAGCCTACTCAAACAGCTTCCCTGGTGGTCAACAACACCTCTGTGAGGAAGGATAGCAATACAATGCCGATGTTCAAACCACATTACTGATACCTTGGGGCGAAAAAGTACAAAAACAAAAAAACAAAACAACTATTTGGCAGCCATTGTTTTCTTTTACAAATGTAACATTTATTACAGAGAATATCAAAGTTGCTTATGAAAACTTCATGTTAAATTACATGATGTGTGCTATACAAGACACAAGATTTCAATTTACAGCAGAAATCAGTCAACTATTCAATCATGTGAATGGCACACAAAAAAAGAAAGTATAACTATTTTGATCAGTGATTGCTTAAATAAATTTATATTGCTGTAAAATTCATTAGCTTGTAGCTCTTCGCACTTGGCTAGGTCTCCTGTGAAACGGATTTTGATCCAAGTGGAACTTCCTGTTAAAAGAAATGAAAATTCAAAAAATCTAAATGTAACCAGCAGAAAACTGTTGTGACAAAAGAGATAAATGTCAGCTGGAGATCTGTAAACGTCATCATCTTTGTTTAGTCAACAAGGCTGATAACGCTCATAAGCTGATACCACAGTACAGGTTAATCCAGCTTACCAAATAACTTAAACACTGTTTAAGTCATTGAATAGATTTTTTTTATGAGACGGCAAAAGCTTGCGTTGATTGTGATATTGCTTGAATGAATATTATAACACATGCATAATTTCTAAGCATTAGGACAACTGCTGTCATAATTTACCAAAAATAAAGTATCAAAAAGTCCATGACACCCTCCATCCTCAGTGTTCATCACTTCTTTGAGTTTGTGGTGCTGTTTTTAGAAGACAGAAAGTCCCGTTAATACAGTAGCAGTTATTCTAAGATCTCTGGATATTTATGTTGATTTCAAATGTGATGCTGCTGCACTCACCTGTGGTCTGAAGGAATTTCCAGTCTGCCTGCAGCCTGTGTCTCAGCCTCTCTATGGCCTCCATGTCTTCTGTTAGCGGGGCTTGAAGTTGCTTCAAAGAGGCGGCTGGGTTACCGAGGAGGGAGGATGCTGTGAGTCCGATAAGCGCCTTCTCCTCCTCCTGAAATTAAAAAGTAAATGGATTAATACTGAACACTAAGTATGCAAACATGCTGCCAACTCCTCTTAAAATGCTTCTTAAGGTTTCACAATATAGCAAAATTAGAGGACATCTACTGTCTTCTTCTTTCAGCTGCTCCCTTTAGGGGTTGTCAGAGTAGATCGTCTGCCTCCATATCACCCTATCCCTACCATCCTCTTTTGTCACACCAACACTTTGTATATCCTCCACTACCTTCATCAAAGACTCCTTCACTACATCCATCCAACCATATATCTCCAGAGCTCCTGCCTGGCAGCTCTACATTGTTGAAGACATCTAGTGTGCCTTTATGAAATCTTATCCAGCACTCTTACCTGCAGTACCACCAGTGTGTGTCCAAGTGCAAAGCTCTGCAGCAGGCCAATTAGTTGTTGCCACAAACTGTCACTGACTCCACTATCTGGCATTCGAACCAACACAACAAGACTGGGGTCATATTCATACCCAAGGGGCAGGAGGAGGCCAAACACAGCCTGTGTGAACCCTGATGTGTCACTGCAGCCCTGTGGGTGAACAAACAAATGCATTTAAATACATTTAAAAAACAAAAGCAAAAAAAAAAACTACTCAAATTGTCTATGCTGAAAAACACATCTCAGTCGCCTTTAAGAGCTGTATCATAAAGGTTTCTGTCCAGAAATCCTTAGCAACTGTGTAATAATTCAGAAACTCTGAATATTTAATGATGCAGTTTTAAAGAAAAGGGAGCTCTAATGCTGACTAGCGAGATGTGTGAGTGTATATTTCTGGCAAATATTAAATGTGATTACAAAGCAAGCAGCAGTACCTTCTTCAGACACACACGAATGTAATATTTGCAGCTCTGTTCCTCAGTCTGTGCACTGCCCACCTGCACCACAAGTGTTTCCCTGAAAACAGAAAGACTTTTTCAGCATGCTGTCCTCGCCGTTATGGACAAATAGTGTGTTTTATTGGATCAATTGTGCCTTGTAGTTTGGTTTTACTAAGACTAAAACAGAGAGCATAAATGATACTCACCTGTCTTCTGTAATATGGCTTGGGACATTCCCGTCACCCACACAGACGACCAAAACGCTGCATATATAAAAGACAAGTTTTAACAAAGCAGATTGCAATCTTGCTAATAAAACTTCAATATACAAGCGCACTCCAGCGGTATATTTAGTAGGCTATATTTATCATGTTAACTTGCACCTCTGTAGTTGTGGCATAGTTGTGCTTTGCAAGTATCTTCACTTCCAAGTGATATTTTTTACTAAGTTACGTCCTAAAATCTGTCTGTATAAATAAAATGACTTCACTTGTTCACAACACGAGAACGATAATGATATTTTATTTAGATTATTTAACCAAAAAGTACATAAAAATATTAGTTCCAAATAACTCCCAGATATGTATGGAGTTAGGTTAAGTGCTAAATTTGCTGTAGGTGCAAATCTGAGCTAAAATAGTTTAGACTGCATTTCCTTTGCAGAGTGACCAAGCATATTTTGTGTATGTGTGTGTGTTTCCTGTAAGAATATTTCTAATCATTTTTAATCACTAGCTGATATTTAAAAAGAGCAGAAGGTGTAAGATTTGATTAAGTCGAGGTTGTTATACCGGTTGCTGAGAACAGTTGTAACGTGCTGGACAATGCTTGTCATCGCCTTGGTGACGTCAGGGACCAGTGCAAGGCCACTGCAGATCTGAGAGCCGGGAATTAAAATTACATCGTGTAGGCAGCTCAGCAAAGCACAAACTGTATTTACAAGACATGATATTATAATAGCACTCACTTAAAAGAAACAAACAACATTGTGGCTTTACCTCATTCTTCTCCATTTTCTCTGTCAGGGCTATAAGACTGGAGACGGTTATAAAAGCAGTACTGTCATCTGTGTCTCTGAGGAAACTCTCCCTTGTTTTAGAGAAAAAAAAAGATTTCAAACCCAGTTACGGTGAAAACCATGAACTGAACTGAGCCACAACAAACCACTTATCCATACCTTAACTTGCTGGCTAAGAGTGGGTCAAGATCCTCTGAGAAGCTGAAGCGTTCGCATCCCTCCGGGCAAGCCACGTCATCAGGGAGCACTAAAGCAGCACATACTGGAGGAGTGACGTGTTTTGGAGGCTCAGGCCACACCTTTTCCTCCGCGTCCTTTTCTTCTTCTCCTCCCTTCTCTGTCGTTTCTTCTCCTTCTCCTAATTTAATCCGTTTGGTGCTGATGGTGGAGGTGGGCAGATCAGCTGAAGAAGGGAGTAACTGTTTTGAGACCGTGTCTTTTATAGTGATGAGAAGTTCAAACAGAAGTAAACGTGAAATACAGCTAGCAAACCCTCAGCTAAGTGATGCTACATCACTCAGTTTGACTGAGGATGGAAACAAGTTAGAAAGAAATAAGGTTATCAGACTCCTGCAGCCTCATGTCCCCTAAAGGCTCTGCTAAAGGCTCTGTTATGGTTACCTGCATGTTTGAGGCACGACCAGTAGGCCTTATGAGCTGATCGGACACACTGAAGAGATTCAAGTGCACTGAAAAAGAAGAATGAAATTGCTGCAGTTATAAAACACACAAACTTTGAGACACAAATTTGACTGATTGTGATGCACACCTTATACAGGGACTTTTGAGGCTTGCAGGTCTCGGCACAGGATCTCCAAGCAATGTCTGGACTGTCTGACACACAGATTGGACGAGGGAAGTCAAGTTGTATCCCCCCTGGAAAACACAAAAACACAAGTTCCCAGACAACAGAACATTAACAGGCTGTTTTCTTGTTTCCATGTTTTAGCCGTATAGGCTGGGCGGCCTGACCTCCAGCACAGCACACAGTTTTCCTCCTGCTAGGTTCATCAGCAGGTGAGTCAGATGGGCAAAGACATCTGGAGTGGCACACATCTCACCCTAAAAATAAGTATAACAGTAAGCGAGTGGATGCAGAGGTTTATAGTGCATGCATGTAATTAGATAATGACATTAATAAATATGTCATACCTCTGGGTCACCGATGGCTGAGTCAAATCCCGCACACACCAAGACTAAGTCTGGGCAAAACTATAAAAAACAGTTGTATGCTTAAACAAAACATTTTATAGATCACCTCCTTTAGGTAGGAAAAAGTTAATTTTTGGAACGCTCACCTCATATGCAACTGGCAGAAGAACGTGACAGAAGACTGACAGATAGTCACCATTTTCCATGCCCAACTGAAATATCATGATGAGGTCTTTTCAGTAAAAGAATAAAACACACATACAGCTTGTACACACACAATCAGGAAAGCAAATAGCATGCATGTACACACTACCACAAACATAACCTCACTGGTGGAGGTAAAAACTGTGGCATTATGTGACACTGTAGACAAATTCGAACTAGGCTTAAGATAAAGCAAGAAGCAAATAGAAAAAAAACCCCATAATGAAACCATAAGTGTGCAGTATTTCTGACCTTGTTCCATGGTACATTTATATTGAATCCTGCCCCTTTCTCTTTGCCAACAATGTCGTAGTCAGAATCTCTCAGATGAGGCCAGAATTTCTGATGCTCATAGCGGTGCCAAGAGAAGTAGAGCACGCTGTGAAAAGGAAAACAACAAACACAGTGAGCAGAATTTGAAACGCAAGCAGACAACATCTGCTTCTCCTTTATCAAAGACTCACCTGGGATCATCCTCAAAGCAATACTGCACCCCCTGACCGTGATGTATATCCCAGTCAACTATCAACACCCTGAAGACAAAATCTGAGGTGAATACATACAGCTGTGGATTTGTGGATCGTTAAAATCTTTAATGGTTGCCAGAATAAGCATAAAGACTAAAAGTCACATTACCTTTGGACTCCGTATTTCTGCTTAGCATATCGAGCCGCAATAGCCACATTGTTGAACACACAGAAACCATTAGCAGCATTGTGCATACTGTGGTGTCCTGGTGGTCTATTAATAATAAAAAAGAAGCAGTTATGTAAAAAAGAAGATTTTACACTTGTTGTTGCCCACTTTGCCCATTAACTACTAAAAACTTAGTCACTAACAAACTAGTAAAAATATGAATTTAAATGTAAAGACTTTTAACCTGATATTTACATTCCTATTAACTCATCAATAATGGACAAAACAAAGGCTCTAATACTAAAACAAGCCATGAGTGCATATCAGAACTGCTGTATCTCAGCCTCACCTGACTAAAGCCATGCCATTCCTCACCTTCCCTGTCATAACACTGTCTACCAGCTGCAGCGCAGCACCAGCAGCAAGCTTGGCACAGTGGTAGATGTTCTAGGACGGTAAATGACATACAGAAGAGGATGTCAGATACAGATGTTCTGTTCCTGTTAAGCGGCTGTTAAGCGGGAGACTTACTGGGTGGAAGTAGACATCACCGTACTGACGAGTGAACTCCATAAGGTCCTCCAGACTCATGTAAGGAGTCTTCTTCACCGCTTCCAGGTATTCTTCACTGTTGAGAGGAGCAAAGTAAACACAGCTCAGTGAACTGAAACAAATATCTAAACTATATCATACCTTCATGACAGGAGTTAGATAAGATGACCTGTGAGCCAGAAGAATTTCTGCGTCCGTGGCCTCACGGACAGGTACGGAGACGCAGCGATCAGCCAGGCCAGTCCTGACCAAAGTCTCATGACTCACAGTCAGACGCTCAGGCACCTCAATCTTACAAGTTGGACTGCAGGAAAACATTACACACTTAATGAATATTTGTTAATTAGAAAATAAACATGACACTGATCCATTTTACTATTCTATTTCTTTCAGCTCTTATATAAAAACATGAGAAATATATAAAAGACACAGCGAGACATGCCAAATGACCTCTGTAGAAGTTAGATATGGAAAACAGCAATTTGCTAAATATGACTTTGTAAAGGAGATAACCAAAGCAACAGACTGTGCAGGAGAGAGGTGAAGAAGAGAGTGCACACAGGTGGAGTGGGTGCAGATGAATGTCAGGGGTGATTTGTGGCAAAAGAGTTGCAGCAAGAGTGAAAGGGAAGGTTTACAAGATGGTAGTGAGACCTTCCTTTGATGATGACAGAGCTGAAGATGTTAAGATTCAGATGTTCATAGATGTAGTGAAGGAGGACATGTAAAGGGTTGGTATGCTAGGATAGGGTGAAATTGAGGGAGATGTGGCGACCCCTAAAGGGAGCAGCCAAAAACAAAGAGAATAAACCCAGCAACACAGCACGGTTCAGACAAAGACATTTATTTCAGCAGTAGAACTGCAAATAGACAAAAGCTGGCGGTCAAAGCTCATTGTCTTTCCAAAATAAAAGCATGAGTCTTAAACTTTAGAGTATTTTCGGCACATTTTGGCATCTAAGAGTCACAAACATAATAAATATCACAATTGCATTTACTCATTTTTTTTAACTGCGAAAGTTAACCATATGTAGACCTCAATCAGTCCAAAAGAAAACAAAAACTATTTCGCAACGTTTTTAAACAGGTGGTAGAGCAGCTATAGCGGGCCCGGTGGGTGTAACACTGAAATCCCTGACCTGACGTGACCGAACAAAGTGCAACCGTAATAACCAAAACGGGTGTCTTCTCTAACTAACCGTACCAGCAACAAGGAACAACTTAGGTTCCCATGACTTCTGACAGATCACACATTTTAGCCAGTGTTCAGTGATGGGAGAAAACTAATAACTTATTTGATGAAGTTACCCGTTCAGTGAAATTACAATATGAAATATTTACTCCTTGATATACTTTAGGCATGCTAAGCTACAGACATTTGCAGAAAAGACATTTGAAGACTTTTCTCATTAGTCACGTTAGCTTTATAAACGTAAACATGGATTTACTACTCACTCAACCCAGAGCAGTTTGTACTTGGTCATCTCGTCATCATAAATCAGCGCTGTTCCCATCTTCGTTATTCCTCGGGTAAGAATAGGTAAGTAACTGCGACCCTGACTATGAGAGTAGCGACGTTTCTGCAGACAGTTTCCAAAAGGACACGAAGTAAGTTTAAAATGAACCGCTGACTAATTAATTTTGATCCAACACTGGCAGCTTTTTATCGAAATGTGCAACATATAAACGAATACCAGTATAATACCAAAATCCAGTGACTGTACAAAACTGTTTACAGTTATTCATCGACTCATATGATCTTCTATGAGTTTTATGTTGGTTTTCACACAGTTCACTAGCGCAGCAGCGCCACCTGCTGGACGGGGTTCAATACTCGTCGTTCATTATCTGTCCCACTGATGCCCAACGTGACAGAATCACCGGATAGTACCAGTGCTGGGGTATCTTGGGTTATTTAAAATAAATTAATTAAATTTGAACTAAAGTCAGATTCTTAATTTCGTTTGGGCATGGTTGATTAGTCTGATTTGGATACAAACCACAAAGGCAGAACTTTATCCTTAACTTTAATTCATTGTTAAACATACAATATATGAAAAAAATAAATAAAAATTAACAATATTATTAGTACTGTATCCTGTATATCCTTTGATCTATATTATCTTTTTACTATTGAAGATCTACCTCATTGCACTTACACTTTATATTTTTGTGTTGATTTTTTTAAGGTACATGGAGGTTCAAACTTCCTGTGGCTTCCTTAGTATTTAAATCAGTTATTCATGACATGTCTTGTTTGAGCTGTATGACTGTTTTGGAGACTGCTGTTTGAGGTTTTAAATGATGTCACATTGTACTGCTACTGTTACAAATGGAGGAGCCAGAGTATTCGAAACACTTTAGAGAAGCGAATGTAACCACAGCACTGAAGAGGTAAGCTCTAAAATTTGAAGTAGCTTCATAAAAAAGTGAACATTATACCTGTGTGAAAAGTGTGCTTCCTGGTAGGACAGCTGTACTTGCCCATTTAAAGTCAATGTTCTTCATAAAGAGATTATAAATCTTTTATCTTTTTCAAAGGAAAATTTGCAACAAATGAAAAAAAATTCTTTACATCACTTCCTGACATCATTTTAATAATGAATAATAAAAACAGTTTACCAAAAATCAACAAATAATTCAAGATATACAGGAGTGCAAAATATGGAAACAGTTCATGTTACATGAGAAGATTTGATTTGACCGGAGAGGATGTTTTGCATGGAGTCTTAATGGAATGGGTGGAATTTTTCCTGTGGGAAACAAAGCATCAGAAACCAGAATATATATTGCATGCCTTCTTCTGATGATAATATTTATTTTGAAAATACTGACATACGTACACAATGTCATGCATTCCATTTTATTTTCACTGTTCATTACATAGGGTTAGCGTTACTTAATTGTCAGAAAACATTGCACCCTGATATCTTGACTTCTTGAGTTCTTCAGGTGTGGCAACGCCCATCTCCCTAACTCCCCCCTCCTGTTCCTCCTCTGTCCTGTCTGCTGTTTCTTCCTGTGTCCTCATGGGAAAAGCTGAGCTCTGCTCCCCTTTCTCTTCAACTCCTCCAGCTTCGTGCCCTTCCTTTCCCTTTGCTCCTTTTCTTTTCATCCTGCACAACACGAGGAAAGCTCCTTTGCATCTCTTCCTAAATGATGGGTCACAGGCAGCGTAGAGGAGAGGGTTCAGGCAGGAGTTGAGGTAGGCTAAACAGGTGACATATGGATGAGCAGCCAATAATATCTGATCTAAAGAGCAGGAGTATGGGACAAATCCAAACTCAAGCAGCAGGGACACAGTTTTATTGACATGGAGAGGCAGCCAGCACAGGAAGAATGCCATCACTAACGTGACAATGACCCTGAGGAGTCTGCGCTGCCGTCTACGGTCAGGACGAGGGCCCCGTCCGAAATGTCTGCTGAGTAGTTGGACCAGTGAGCAGTAGCAGACCAGTAAGATGACAAAAGGAAGCAGGAAGCCAATAAGAGTTGATTTAATACTTAATGCAGCAGCCCACCACATCTCTGTCCTGTTTTTTTCTTCCTCCTCCAGCTCTGCTCCAGTCAGCATGGAGTAATCCATCTGGCAAGAAAGGAAGACAGACCTGGAATCAGCGGGTTCCAGCTGCCAGTCGTCCTCATGTTCAGGGTCAAGCTCCACCTCCCGGACAGAGCGCAGCAGCAAACCGGGAAGTGCCAGTACTCCCGCCAGCACCCACATCCCTCCAAGTATCCACAAAGCCTTGCTGGGGCAGCTCCTTGGTGCATGGTGGCTGGAGTGCCGGTGCCTAGTCAGAACCCAGTAGCGCTCTACACTTAGCATGCTCAGGCTGAACACGCTGGCATACATGTTCAGAGCTGTGAGGAAGCTGCTGATCTGGCAGAGAGGTTGCCCAAAAGGCCAGTGGTAGCCCATCGCTGTGTAGACGGCCCAAAGGGGAAGAGTCACAAGGAAACAAAGGTCAGCTAAAGCTAAACTGGCAATCAGAGAGTCAGTCAGCGAGCAAGAGGGACGGGAGATGGAGGGAGAGCAAGAGGATGAGGTGGAGGAATGGGAGGATGTTCTGTAGCTTTGCCTGGAGGAAAATCCACAGTTTGAACTTTGAACTTTGCCAGTGTCGTTAATGTGCTGCTGACTGCTTCTAAAAATGTTGCTGCAGCAGAACTGGCCATCTCCTGCTGGCTTTCGGTCCCTTCTCCTCCTCCCCTTCACTCGGTCCAGGTAGGCCCAAAGCACCAGGCTGTTGCCAGGACAACCAACCAGAAATGCTAGCAGGTAGACAGATGGGATGATGAAAAACGAGGGAGACCAGTCACTGTAGTCACAGAGAGGGGGGTTGGTAGGAGCAGGGGAGGCGAGGTAAGCTGGTTCTGACATCACTCTGTATATACTTGGTTTTTTATCGAAAAGGTTTTGGCATTAAAATCCACTGGAGTTTTTAACACTGTAGCCAAAACAGCATAATATCTAGATGTGAAGAGACACGATTCCTGCACTGGAGGAATGGTTTTAGGTGAAGAGGTCCAAATTCCAGGAGTGGATAAGCCTCCAGTTCACATCTGTTGATTTTGATGGTCTGGAAATTCAGTGAAAGACACAAATAGATTTTTTTAAACTTTAGCTACACTCATTTTTGGGATTATGTAAATTTATGTTTTTTCCATGCTCATGCTTCTCCCGATCATCACAACCTAAATATATTAAGGATCATGAGGACCTCACTTTTTTCTATACAGCAATTTAAACACTTAGACAAACAATTTTAGGCAATTTTGACATAATTTAAAACTCATACAAGACAACAAACAGAATCAAGACTGCAACAGTGCACACTAAAACCTTAAGTAAGGAATTTCTAGGACCATGAGCACTTTCACTGTGATGACATAACACGATTTAACTGAGTAAACATTTCTAGCTTTCTGCTTTCATGTTCAATTCTGAAAGTGAATTCTGAAAATCTGCATTAAAGCTCTCTCCAACTGGCGTGTTTTATAAATACATTTTTTATCTTGACTATGTGAAATAAGAGAGGATTTTGATGAAGGCACTTACCTTAAAGTTGCTTTATTACCTTGGATAAAACCAATTTACTGGTGCCTATAACCATGGTACAATACTTGTTATACAGAAATCAGCATCATCCCATTTTCTCCTGCTGAACTTCCAGTCTGGGCTTTCTTCTGTCACTCTCTCTATCTCAGCTTCTGTAACAACTGAAGAAGGTGAGAGTTTCTCTTAAGTCTAAATATATACCAGTGTCGCCTAAACACACACACAAGTAAACTAAAACCCAGAATTCTCCTTTCTCCCATTCTCCAAACTAGACCACCCCAGCAGAAAGTAACAAGACCTGCAAGCATCAACCCCCCCAACACAAACATACTCACCTCCCAAGAGACACAATAACTCCACTCATCCTTCCCCCCACAAACTCGAGATACACAAACAGAGTCCTCCGTCTCTTATACTGCTCGTATTCTCCATGCAAAGACACAAACAGATCCAAATGCACCTATAGTACACAAATACGTGCAAACACAAGCACCCTCTTTGTTGTCGGGGGTCTCACATTTGCTCTCAGTGGTCAAATGCGGCTACCCACACTGAGAGCAAATAACAGCCCTCACATTCATAGTCAGACTACAATATCAGAATAGAGGCAGCCTTCATGAATACAATGAAAAGGCCTCCAGGCCATTGATCCCTACCCAGTGTAAACTGGGACAGAAATAAGAATTTCCATGTGAAAGTACATCCAAACCCACAGCTGTGTTGTCTCATGTCTTATGGAAGCTGCTAAAAAGTCCATTAAAATCATGCTTAGCATGGATTCTGAGATCCTTTCTCAATTTCAGCTGTACAAACAGCATTATCAGTTATTTTTATTCAAAGGAGTAAGACACTTTGATCGAAGTAACAAAATCAGTTTAGTCCAAGAAATGTATTCGTTTTATGGACTTATTTATCTTCATTCTGCTCAAAGTGCATTTTCTCTTTTGGACTTTCTTCCTAATGATGAATATGGTAAACAATGACTCACACTGTTAGTTGTTATGCTTACGAAAATGCAATAATAAATGATTAGGACTTAATAATAAAATCATTCCAATTTATAAGATGATAAAAGACTATCTTTAAGAGGTAGTTGGAAATGTTCTGTCTAAACCAACATATTGTAAGGAGGGAGTGATAATGACGAATGGGGTCAGCGTGGAATTACAGTGTAAATAGTGAAGATGTTCGGATAATAAACAGGAAGTGCGTGTTTCCACAGAGGTCATTCTGCCACTAACCTGTAGTTATGGGAACAGATGTTTCTAAAAAACAAAAAAAAACATTCCAGTCAGTCTTTTCTCTTACAACACACACACGCGTGCACACACACACACGCGCGTGCACACACGCACACACACGCACACACACACACACACACTCAAGCACACAGACACAAGCAAACACACACACATGCACACAAAACTTTACTGCTGAGAAGAAAGGAAAGGCAGAGCAAATACAAGTAAAAAGAAAAGAAAACTGTAGGCTGTTGTGTGCTGATCTCAGAGGTCGGTTTGCATCTGTTTTCAGATTTTATTAAGTCTACCTACTTGTATTTTTGCTAAAATGTCAGTATAATTCTTGTATTTTATCATGCCCCTCAATACAATACAGCATAAAAAATAAAAATAACTGAACTATGTTGTATTGTCATTAAGCTGTCCAGCAGTATATAAACACAATCATCTCCAGCTGCAAAATTAAAGCAATAATGACTCTAATTAATCAATAATATAACAATTATGACCCCACATAAAGAGTATTATTAGATATTGATGATAAAAAATTTTTTTTTACTTTAGTAGAATTAAGTAGAATTTTACCCAGATACAGAGTGTAAATACTTGTTTTTCTATTTTTTCACTGTTTTTTTTTTTTACAACAGTTACTCATTAGTCTACCAAAGGCGTGTAAGTGTGCAATAAAGTGCAATGCCACTTTTCACATTTCACCTAAATTCATGCATAGAGCTGCATATGAGCCTGAATTTCAGACCACTGTCATCAATTTCTTAAAACTATATTTCTCCCTTTATTTCATAGAGATTTCAGAATCCTTGTAAATCTAACCACGTGTTTAGGATGCCTACAAGTCTTCCACTTGAAAAATGTTCTTTTGGCTTTGCTGTGCCTGTTAATTGGTACCTTTTTAAACATGGTAGTGGATCGTTTGCCTGCTGAAAGGAGAACAAGATAAGGATTTGCATAATATGCCTGATATGGAAAGAGCCACAAGACAGGCAAAAAGCACACAGCGGTAGAGTCTTTCATGGGGATTAAATGCACTGTGGAGAAATAGATGTTTCATCATGTCTGTCTACAGAACAGATCAAGCTTTCATCTGTCTTCTGATTGTCGTGATGGTAGGAGGCGAGGTGCAGGAAAGCCTTTCATCCGATTGTAAGCAGTTTTTGTATATGGGGACGCTGCTTCGAGGGCTTCAAGAGCAGTCGCTTAAAAAGATTTGCCAGTTCTATGGGGGTAAGCCACGATTTGTAACCCTCTACGACACCTTCAACCACATCCCTATTTATTCTGCTTACACCTTCAAGCGCTCAGACGGCTCCAAGAAAGTGGACGTGCCTTGGATGTATGAGCCGCAGGTAGGCATGGTTGCTAGCTTTGCTGTCTGAGCCTTCAAATGTGTTCTGACCATCTGCCAAAAAGTGGTGGTGTTTCTGTATTTTGTTTCTGTGTGTGTCTGTGTGTGTGTGTCTAATATCTGCTGATATTCTCATGCACTGGTAAATAGGCTGTAGTCAACAGAACAGGGTTATATATAAAATAATGACCTGTATTGCAAGTCTCTTTATGCCCATTGTACAATATAATCAATCCAATGCCAATTTTTTTCTCTTGATATGACTTGATGTCATTCATGACAAATATGTTGAGATACAGATATGTATGAGAGCTTATGGACGAATAGTAATTCACCACAGTTTAAATACAACTAATCATTTCACTTTTTGCCACTAGGTGCTTGTCACAAAGTTTGAAAATTGAAACTCCAGTTTTATCAATAAATGCACTACTACCACTGCTGTGGGGTTACCAGAAGGTCAAAAGTTCTTTTTTATCAAGTAACCTGAATGTTCTGTTTTTGCTAATTCACTGTGATCGGTGCAAATGTGTAGGTTATGTATGTTAAAATATATTAAAATAAACATCGTTGAACTAACACTTTTTACTAGCAGCATCTCAGCCGTTTAATAATCTTTTTGTAAATGATCAGTGAAGCCCATTTTCAGAATGCACACCCTTTAAATAAAATGAAGATGATACATTAAGTGTTGTTGCTGGTAATAAATAATATAAATATATAATACATCTAAATATCGTGTTTATTTTACAATTTTAACATGACCATGTTAATAGCTCTCCTCAGTGCCCGGCCCCAGAGACATGCAGCAGCTGCCTTCAGAAAATGTGCACGGGAGTTTTGAGGATGCTCAGGCTGTGCTTGAGGACTACTCCAACACTGTGATCTACGAACGCGGTCAGCTCAATCCAGACGAGCACCAGGCCGACCCTGACGACAAAGCAGCCACCTACACGTTGACAAATGTGGTTCCTCAGGCTCGTGAGTTCAACATTGGTCCATGGAAACAACACGAGAACACTATCCGCAGGAGGCTCAACAACTACTGCAGGGGCACCGCCTACGTGGTCACCGGGGTCACCACGTCGGGCCACACAATCCGCCGTCACAACATCAACCGTGTGGGCATCCCTACCTACCTGTGGTCAGCCTACTGTTGCCCTGATTATGACCACAATGCTCCGTACTCCGAGCGCTCCAAGTTCCCTGCGTTTGCATCTCGTGGGCTCAACGACAGAGAAAATAATAAAGTTATAGAGATGATGGTGCAGCAGCTGGAGGATTTCCTGAAGAGAGTAACTTATGTTGACAGCTCTTTCCAGATCTTCTATGACAACTGCCTGCCTCCTAATGGTGCACCACATTTGTCTTAAAAAAATTAATCACATTTCCATTAGTGTGTAAAACAATCAAAATGTTTGTTCATCTTCACATTATCTCTGGCAAACCCATGCTCCTTATAAATTAAAACTACACCTGCCTCTGTAGGCCTTTTGTTCAGGACAGAGATTAGACCAGCTGTTTTACATTTTCTCGTACACCTTAACTACAGCAGTTCTCTGCACCTCAGTTTGCACTAGTTCTACAGCCTTAGAAGAGCATTTCTAGATTTTGGGAAAAGTACTAGCTGCTAATTGCTCTGACATTTGGATTTCAAACTGTACCATTAAATGTGAACTACACGCAAAAGAAACAACATTATGGCCATTTAATTAGAATATAAAAATAAAATCCTCTTTCTGTCTGCTACTCTATTTTTTTGTGACTGTCTCTTCATTTTATTCAGCGTCTGGTGTGACCTCGTTTTTTCACACAGGAGGTCACACATGATACAGTATTATAACATAAAACAGACAAGCCGATATTAACTCCATGAATTATATCAGTGAATGAATGAATGATATTTCGGGCAGATCCTGGCAGTTGGCATATGACAGCAGGTGGTCAACTCAACTGTGGATGCTTTGACCAGCAGCAGATTGATAAAGAGCCCAAAGTATATGACTCAAAGAATAACTTGCTGATGTGACCAGAAGAGGGAGACCCTATCAGTGTAATCTCAAGTCTCACTATTTTCACTTTTGGGGGAGTGAAAAGAGAGAAACAAGGTCATGTTCAGCTGTGTCTGTTACTTTACAGTAATGTCCACGTTTGTCCAATCTATTCTGAACCCTGAAAATTTATGAAACTATATACGTAAAAATGACTGTAATCCATAATTAATTAATTAAACAGACACGTTTTATTCTAAAATCCCTTGGATTGAAGTTGAAAGTCTGACTTTCAATCACATATTGATTGATTTAAAATAGACTGTGATGGAGCATAGAGGCAAAATGATCAAAAATCATGGCATTGTCTAAAAACGTATGGACCCAATATTATGCTGCAAATTGAATCACTTTTGCTATTCCCAAAAGGAGAATGAAAATAAGAAGAAGTAGTGTAGATAGTCTAACTAAATACAGTTGTAATGATTGTGTATTCAATTCAATTTTAGTTTATTTATACAGCACCAAACCACAACAAGAGTCACTTCAAGGTGCTTTATATTGTAAGGTAAACCCTACAATAACTCATACAAAGAAGAACCCAACAATCATATGACCCCCTATGAGCAAACACTTTGGTGACAGTGAGAAGGAAAACATCCCTTTTAACAGGAAGAAACCTCCCGCAGAACCAGGCTCAGGGAGGGGCGGCCATATGCCACCACCAGTTGGGGTGAAGGAAAGAAGACAGGAAAAAGACATGCTGTGGAAGTGAGCCAGAGATTAATAACAAGTAATTATTCAATGCAGAGAGGTCTATTAACACATAGTGAGTGAGAAAGGTGACTGAAGAAATACTCAGTGCATCATGGGTATCCCCTAGCAGCCTACACATATTGTAGCTTAACTAAGGGACGGTCAGGGTCAGGGTCACCTGATCCAGCTGCATAGCACTGAAAATGTATGCTATGCCTTCTGATGGAGGGAAGCATGATCTTCTAAATTTATGACACGCCATTTCCTCTCCAGCTTACGAGTCATCTGCTTTAGGCTACATGTTTGAGAATTATACCACAGAGTCAGGTACTTCTGATTTGTGACCTTACAGGAGCTACAGTATCCAGAGTCATATGTAGTGAGGAGGCAAAGTTATTAACAAGATAATCAACCTCTGTTGGAGTAGCGTTGCTCTGCTCTGTGTTGGTGCAGGGCCTTGAACATGATAACAGTGGTCGAATTATATTCTTAAACTTAGTTACAGCTTTCAGACAGAAATCTACTGTGATGAAGTCTACTCCCCACTGCTATTTAACACTGTTAAATGTTCAGTTTCTATTCCATATGTGAAAACAAGATCTAGAGTGTGATTAAAGTGGTGGGTGGGTTCTCTTACATTTTGAGAGAAGCCAACTGTGTCTAATAACAGATTAAATGCTGTGTTGAGGCTGTCATTTTTACATCTACATGGAAGTTAAAATCACCCACAATAATTATTTTATCTGAGCTGAGCACTAAATCAGGTAACAAGTCTGAGAAGTCAGACAGAAACTCTGTGTGAGGCCCAGGAGGATGCTAGATGATAACGAATAAGGCTGTTTTTTGAGTTTTCCAGCTAGGGTGGACAAGGCCAAGCATTAGAATTTAAAATGAATTAAGTCTGTTTTGGTCTTCAGTTGATTAACAAGCTGGTGTGGAAAATTGTCGCCACACCGCCCCCTTGGCCTCTGCTTCGAGGATTCTTATAGTTAGCTCGAGGGTGTTGATTCATTTAAACTAGGTTTCTGTAAGGTAGAGTAAATTAATTTGTTGATCGATCACTAACAGCGACTTGGAAGAGAGACCTAATGTTTAATAACCCACATTTCACTGTTTTATTCTTTGGTGCTGTTGATGATACTGTGTTGCTCTTTCTTTGTGATTTTTTAAAATGTCTAAGTCATTTTTTGACTATTTTTATCTGTTTTTTTGTCTGTTTGGGAGCAGAGATAGTCTCTAAGCGGATGGGGTTTTGGGGTGATAACAGGAAGAGAGAAGCATGCGAGTATGAGAGAAGTTAAGATATATGGTGAAATAGATGGTGAAATTAGGAGGAAGTTAGATAGTGCTGTGGTGTCATGAGTTATGCTTTGAGGCGAGGCATTCACATGCTTTATCAGATGCTACCCATCCTGTGATTAGCTCTCAAAAGCACCATACTCAACCATCTCTAGAGTTACAGGGGGAGATTTGTGTAACTGCAGTAGTCGCAGAAAAAGAACCAAAACATGACTTTGCACAGGGACAGGCATCTGGTGACAAGGGAGCATTTTAAATTAGCTTCTTCTATTTTCAAAGAATTTGTGCTTTACAGAACACAATAAACTCAAATCAAAAACAAATCAAAGCAAAATCATAAACATAAAAAATATAAATAAATAAATAAATTTTGAAACATTTCCTAACTGCAGACAGCACAAATGCATGAATTTGGTAATTTATGTCAAAACACATTTATTTGTTATTGGCTAATTGGCATTGATGTTAATTGATGTTGCTATTTTATTGTGTGTTATTTTATTGTAATTTGTATGTTTGTACAGCACTTTGGTCAACACCACTGTTGTAATTAAAAGTGTTATATAAATAAATAGAAATAGAAATATGCAGAGAACATGCAAACGCCACACAAAAAGGGCTGAGCTAACCAGGAACCTTCTTACTGGTGTTACTCACTTCAGTATCATTTAAATATGATTTCGGTATAATCAGCACTGGAAATGTGTTGAAAATGAAAGAGAAGGGCTGAACGATCAATTTCTTTGAAACTGAAGTTACAAATTGAGACAATGAAAAATTAACAATTTAACTATATATTATTTAATTATATATTTTAATTCTCATTCTTGCATTAAAATATAGACCGTCCACGTTGTTTTAAATCTCTCATAAGTGAAGCTTGTGTTTAAAAAGTTATATTGTTCATCCAGACCAAGAAGAAAAAGTAGTGTAAGCTCATCTTCATTAGTATTTGTGAGAGGATGTCAGACGTGCTTTTACACTGTGAGTTGAGGTTTTGGTGAGATATTCACATATTCACCATCCACACTCTAACTCACCCTGATAAGGGACACACACCTACCAGCTTGCACAAAGACTCAGTAAGTAACATATTCGTCTCCCTCTGTTTCTGTTCTTTTTCCTTTTGATCTACAATTCAGATGTTTTTTCCTGAAGTTTTTCATACATCACCCTGTCTCTGTTTGAAGGAACCACTCAACTCAACTTGTTGGCAAACATAAACAACTGATGCAAATATTCCAGATGTCTTGTCCTCACTGTCAGGGTTCATAATTTATTTAATGTGATTTAAGCAAGCCCTTTGTAATTGGGTGGGTGATCAAAGAACGATGATCTCCCTGCGTCGGCGGTTGCTCTTTTTTCAATCAGCCTTTCATTAGTGCACACGTTCAAAAAAAAAAAAAAAAGAACAAAAAAGATGCATCATCACATGGAGTTTATGTAAGCATTCTAGTGAAGTTCTGACTCAAAGGGAATTTAAAAATGTTGTCTATTAATTGAAAGAAGTTGGTATCTATTTCAAAATTGCTAACTGTTTAAAAGCTTTTGTTTGTCGTCTTACTGTGGGGTCTGTCTGTTGCAGTGCAGACTGACTATACAGTAAGAATAGTTTTGTGCAGGGTGCAGAGACGTTGGAGTGAATGATTAAATAAATAAGAAATGGATAACTAGTTACTATGTATCCAGCATATGCATGAGGATTGACTATAAATTGATATATATAGTATGTAGATATGTACAACAGAACAAAAACAGCATATGCTTTGATTCAGAAGCGGGTATGGTGGATGATTCAAATACAGACACTATGTGAGTGTTCTAAGTGTTCATCAAACATCAAACTAATGGCCTGTATGTAGCAGATGTCTGCTTGTTTTGACGTACAGTTCTTTATGTATGTCCAGTTATATTAACCACACAGCAACCCTTCTTTGATGTGTCATTTTTTGATAGTTAATGTACATTTAAGGTGCCATTTAACTTCATTAATAGTAAAACCTTCTTTTTTGTTCCTTCCAGAGATGGCAAGCTGGGTCTCCACCCTTTTCTTCCTAATCTGGTTGTCAGTCTCTCAAGCCCAAGAGGGGAGTGGAAAAATCCCCACTGTGGAATTCATCTCCGAAAGCCTGATTAACAATGTGGTCCAGGACCCACAGACTGGTCGCATCTACCTGGGAGCAGTCAACAATATCTTCCAGCTGAGCCCGTCCCTCCAGAAGGAGGCCCGCACTGAGACGGGCCCAAAAAAAGATGGCAAAACATGTACACCTCCTGCTTCAGGCTGTCAGGACACAGTGCTCATGCCCAACAGCAACAAGCTTCTGCTGGTCCATCCGTCCAATGGTTCACTAATAGTATGTGGCAGTCGATACAGAGGCATATGTTCCCTCCTCAACCTGTCTAATGTAGAACAAGAGCTGTATTACAATGACAACAAAGGACAGAGGACTTACGTTGCTAGCATAGAGGATAATGTGAACGTGGTGAGCGTCATGTCCACCTACACAAAAAATGGCCGGACCTTCAAAGTGTTCCTTGTTGGAAAGGGCTATGGAAGCCTGGACAGTCCAAAACTAATCAGCACACGAATCCTTGAGGACTACCAGGACTGGGTTGTGTTTGAGAACATCATTGTGGCATCAGCGGTACAGACGGCGCCATTTGTCCTCAAGTACTTACACGACTTCCAACATGCCTTCAAAGAGGATGGTTTTGTGTATTTCCTCTTTTCTCGGACTCTTGATGGCACAGATAACAAAATCTTGACTTTTGTGTCTCGTCTTTGTGAAAATGACCAACATTACTATTCGTACACAGAGCTCCAGTTAACCTGCGGTATAAAGAACCAGTACAACAAAGTCCAAGCTGCATATGTGGCTTTTCCAGGAAAAGAGCTGGCACGGGTCATGTCTCAATCTGGTAATTATGGGACAGTCACCTCATTCACAAAGGTCCTCTTCATGGTGGCTCATCCAGATGACGACGAAAGCGACTCTGCTCTCTGCATGTACCCGCTGAACTCCATCAATCAGCAGCTGATGGATATAATCAGTGCATGCTACAGTGACTCTGGGGAGATTTCTGGGGTTCCTGCTGTGGACGTACCCTACTCATCTCAAACCTACACAGCATGCGCTTCAAAGATTTCTGTAAGTGCTTCTTTGTCACCTGACTCTAATTTAAAAGAATGTTTTGAAAAACTCAAATTGGTATAATTATAATCTGTAATGCAGTTATCACTTTTTATTATAAAATCTCAACATTTCATTTGTTCTCCTGTTCACTTGTAATCTGACCAAGGCTAAAAGGCATTACCATGCAATAGCGTCCAATAAGAAGAGAGACACACTAATACAGTCACTGTGCCAACAGCATATGCTGCTACATTAAGTATATAAGTATGAGTACATTTAACAAATTAATAATGGTATTAATTGTAATGTAATTCTATAAACTGAGTGAGATAAGCTGCTTCAGGCCATATAGATGTATAGTTAGGTCCATAATTTGTTGGAGAAAGACACAATTCTTGTAGTCTCTGTACACCAGCACAGTGGATTTTAAATCACACAATCAAGACTTGGCTAAAGTGCAGACTTTCTACTTTAATTAAGGGGTTTCAGAATTTTTTGGTTTTGTTTGTTTAGCATTTGTCTGAATCTAAGCAGAGAGTATAGCCCTGTACACTTCACATTTCATCCTTCTGTTTCTGTTTCGATCAGCAGTCACAGTAATCAGACAGTAGTGACCCAGTTTCAGTGGCAGCTATACATGCCCATTCTGGTCATGAGCTGTTTCTCTCCTCTCCATACTTTAAGAATATTTTTTGAGAGCTGTAAAGGTTCTTTCAGATTTTCTTTAGCAAAGTTTAATCTGATCCTCCTGTTCTTGAGTGTAACCGATAGTTTGAACCTTGTTGTATTCCCGTTCATGGAGGTGTCTTGACAATGATATGCCTACCTCTCCTGGGTGTTTTTGACTTAGATATTATGAAGCCGTTTTGCTTATCTATGGAAAGCATTTTTTCAGGTTTTTATGTGTTGCTGAGCTGGCCATTTAAATTCTTATTTTTTAAGAAAGTACCAGATTATTAATTCTTTTTACTCTTGAAGTTTTTATTATTTTTGATTCTGGTTTATTTTTTCAGCTGAATGTTAGCCTATCTCACTTGTACTGACATGTATTTGGGCATTTTTATTTACAATTAGAAAGAAAAGCTATAAAATGTAAATTCGACACTTCAAACCACCTTCAAATATTACGTCCGCTTCATTTGTCATGAAGTAAAAAGGGAACTGGCCTCACCTGGAACTACTTGTCAGTAGAATATCCAGTTGGTTTTAAACCTCTAAAAAAGGGGGACTGTGTATAAAAATGGCTCAAATTCCCGAAGAAGTTTTGGCAAAGATTTGCTAAAATGCTTTGAGTTAAAGCTTAAAGTTTACCTTCAATCACTTATTGATTGTTTGATTTAAAACCTGCTTTGGTGGTGTAGAAAGACAAAACCACCAAAATTACGCCTTTGTTCAAGTTATAGGCCTAACTTTAATATGGCTCACTCTCCTCTCTCCATGTACTAAATACACCTGTCAAATTTGGCGGTCTATTCATGTTTTAAAATTTTCCCTTTGCTGCCTCTGACATGTCAAGACCGCTGCTACCCTGCACCACTGGTTGATATTTTAGCTGTTTCACATCTCCAGCTCCCACCATAGGGTCTGCAGCTGTAGGGTATTTACTTTAGAGAGTGACTGAGCTTAATACCGAGATCAGTACCTACTCAGAAATAATTGAAGTATTCCATGAACAATTTTCACGTGCCAAAGACTTTTTTAGTTATGGCCCAACTTAACTGGTTATTTTACATTTTTTACTTGCATGTATTACTAGTTTCTTGTTAAGTGATTATTAACACGAGTGTTCCTATTGTTCTCGTCTCAGACTTCCGACTCTAAGGCAAATACTTACTTGTAATTTTTATTCATTATTTTAAACAAAGAAATGATCAGTCAAAACAAAGCCAATTTTAGATTGTAGATTAAAATGGTCGAGTGTTCAAAGCACATTTCCTATCTCTGTTATAAAGTTTAAGTAGGATACGAACAGTACTGCAAAGACAGTTAATGTTTTTGGAGTGAAAAGCAA